TACTTTTAGAACTTTTTTATAACTATAAATGTGAATACAAAAACATATAAATTACTCATTAAAACAAAATCTAGTGTTAACCGCAGAGTCAAAATGCCAATTTCACAATGAGAAGGACTGCTCAAAATAGAGGGGAAAAAAAACTTGTTTTTGAATTTTTTAAAATTTCGGACACCCGGATTGCTAAAACCCCCCTCCCCCCCTATGTCCGAGTTTGTCCTGATTTTCCAAACCCCCCTCCCCCACCCCTTGGCTCGGACATCCTTTGTGAATGGCCCCTATGTAAAAATTGAATTGTTTAGCCACGTTTATGATGCACGACAGCCTGTTGAATTTCCATAGCGTTTGTTTTTAGACACCCCGTAGAGGATGCAGTGTGCATTAGCATAGAGTTACTAAGTAGAGACATATGGGCAAATAATCTGGTTAAGCCATTGTCTGCCAATATTTGTGCAGTTAGAATTTCACAAGTGACTGAATATTTCATATGCATAGATCTTCACATTAAACAGAGTATATGTACAAAATAAATGACTAAGGATGTAACTACAATGTTATAAATATATATACAGTACACAAAATGACAAGATTATTCAAAACTCATTGTATTATTTTCGACTTCTCCACCGTTTGTCTTCAAAGCATTGTCCAAGTTATTGTCTTTTGCCAACTGGTTAAAATGCTGTAAGTACGTTGTAAAAATCACAAATTAGATTGACTAAGTGAGATAACTAAAGAGAATACAAATAAGTATTCTCAAGCTTAATCCTTTGTTCTAACATGCAGGCATCTTTAATATGCGCGAGTGTGCGAAAACATGCATGCACTTTTTGAACTGTGCATGCAGGCACATTTTAAAAAAAAATCTCATTAAAATACTGACATTTTAACAATATTTAATGTGGCTCCCTATACAGGGTGTATCAAAAAAAGTAAGACAATTTTGAAATTGCTCTCAATTCCACAATTCTGTTCATGAAATGTAATTTTTTATATGTATGGAATGCTTGAGTTCTTAAATTATGGAAAATATAAAAAATTTGAAAATAGTAAATTTTGCTATCCATCAACTTTTGCTCTCCTAAAAGTGGCTTGCGCACGGAAATGACAAACGGTATTCTTTATTTGAGTTCATGTATGAAAAGTTCGCTATTTGTTGCATTTATGATAAAATTTCGGCAGGATTTTACCGAGTATAAATCCACCGAAAAGCCTATGAAAACGTTACATTTTTCTCTGATGGTGCTGTTCTTGCTTCATTATGAATTCATTTTTACTCCCATGAGAGTTCCATGGAATTTCCACTGAATTTGTGCTTTCGAGTTGTTTGTGCTGAAACGCATTCTCTTGTATAATACCCCGTACACTTTGAAATGGCGATGTCACAATTTACCCCGGCCGCAGCAGAGAACTTTTATGCATGGTATCAGAGTTTCTCCGTAGCAACAACATAAACTTGGTTCGCCAAAGTTTCTCGAACGAATATCCAGATGTACGATGCCCTTCACGTATTCGCACGTGAAGGGCATCGTACATCTGGATATTCTTTGGCGAACCAAGTTTATGTTGTTGCTACGGAGGAACTCTGATACCATAAAAGCTCTCTGCTTTTACGGGGTATTACACGAGAAAATGCGTTTCAGCACAAGCTCGAAAGCACAAATTCCATGGAAATTCCATGGAACTCTCATGGGAGTAAAAATGAATTCATAATGAAGCAAGACCAGCACCATCAGAGAAAAATGTAACGTTTTCATAGGCTTTTCGGAGGATTTGTACTCGGTAAAATCCTGCCGAAATTTTATCATAAATGCAACAAATAGCGAACTTTTCATACATGAACTCAAATAAAGAATACCGTTTGTCATTTCCGTGCGCAAGCCACTTTTAGGAGAGCAAAAGTTGACCACCCCCCTGGATAGCAAAATTTAATATTTTCAATTTTTTTTATATTTTCCATAATTTAAGAACTCAAGCAATCCATACATATAAAAAATTACATTTCATGAACAGAATTGTGGAATTGAGAGCAATTTCAAAATTGCCTTACTTTTTTTTATACACCCTGTAGTTGTTTAAGCATGGGACTGGTAACGAAATGACGTGATCTTGTCGAGTTGAAATTTTATCACATCAGCAAAAAGTTCATTTGACCGCGCAAGATTTTTAATGCAATAACTTTTTCCCTTCGGTTAATATTTCTAAAATTTTGTTAAAAATACTGGTCAATTATTGCAATATACTCGATTTTTTAAAATACTCTATAAAACAGTTTTTGTGGAACAAATCTCGCGTAATATTCAGCTGAAAAATTGAATTTATACTCCCCCCTAATTTTTTTATATAATCTTCCACTAGACAGACCTAGACATTCCCTTTACAACTACAGAACGTCAGATGTTTTGACCGAAGGAAATTAATAAATTCATTTTTAGTCCAAAACTTGATATTTATCTGCTGTGGCTTAGGCCACATTGTTACCATAGCAACACACAAAGCATATGATAATCGAACGATTATGCTTGAAGTATAAAGCCTGAGCAAGCGTTTCTGTACTTCAAAAAAATCCCCATTTTACATAAATAGAAAATATTTTGCGTAATTGTGAAGACCTTTTTTTCGTTTCTTTACAACTGTAGGGAGCCACCTTAATTCCCCAAACCTAAAATAGGATCAAATATTTGCAGATCCTGAAGTTATGAAATTTGCTCGCAGGCACTAACTAACATGCTCCCGCGGAAAAGCGTGCAACTTAATTGACAAATATATAAAAAATATACTAAAAATGACAAATATATACTGTATTTTGAAGTTTTAAGAAATAAAGAAAAACAGAAAAGAAAAAAAGCTTGAAAACCCATGGAAGCCCACCATTATATTGATCAAGTGGTTTTAATTGACGTAGATCAATGCAGAAACTCACCTGGGAATTTTTGAACTCCGAATACAACGTAAAGAGAACATGTAGGGAATGTATACGATTCTTTTGCACAGGAATATCAAGCATCCCTAAGCAATTGAGAGATATTGATAGATATATTAAAATATCTTGCATAATATTTAAATTTCATAAAACCGTTTTAGTTTCTAATCTATTACGATCAAGCTTACCACAAACAAGGTCGACATACTGAGGAAGATCTACATCCAGCTCAGCCGTTGGTAGTCCAACCTGGCAGAATAAATTCTAGAGGTTTAATACTGTGCATGTGGCTATTTTAATTAAGGTTGTCAGAGGCAATATACTTCACATGGTACTAAATGTAGGCGAGTACCCTCACCACGAGATGACCCCTACTGTAAACGGTATTAACTTCAATTTACAGTAAGAGTGTTCTGCATGATTGTACAGTCATTTATAAAATAATATGACAAGAATCAATATAAGATTATTTATTCCCTTAAATACTCGCATAAAGCTCCTGCGGACGTCCCGTCAAAAAGATTAAAAATTTAAAGATGCATGAGCAAAATTATTTTACAATTATAGGAATTTGAAACTGACTTCGTTTCAAAGACAAAGACGTATATGGCCATTTCGAAACATTTCAGGAAACGTTAGAGGTTGAATTGTACATTAAATTGCAGCTTAGAGAATACCTAATAACATATCTAAAATGCATAGTATAAACCTATAATTATACAAGCACAAAATTTTGCCTTGCTTTTGCCAGTATTTTATCCAATAAAAAATATACCGAACGCATGTTCGTACAATTTTCTGCATGGTCTGCGGTTTGTCAATTATAAATTATCCATGTTGGGAAAAATGTTTCGGAATGCAATGTTGACATTATTGACACTAGCACACACGTGACTAGAAAGTTAGTTAAGTATTTTTAGAAGCACGAGGCTAGGGAACCGGGAAGTAATTGGATACGTACTATGCTGTTTGTACAAGTTGTTTGATATCTATTGTTATACTTAAAAGTGCTTGATATTGATACAAAACCACGAACATTACACGGAACAACATTTGTCTGCTCAGAAAGAGCGAGTGCAGGTTGCTACTTATCATTTATAGACCCGGAGCGAGGGCGATTCGGCGTAATATTTCCCGAAGTGATGATATTTTCCGAGGGGCTTTGCCCCGAGGAAAATATCATCACTAAGGGAAATATCGCCGAATCCCCCGAGCGGAGGGTCTATAAATGATATATTATACTGAAAGTTAAAGAACTCACCAAGTTCAGAATACACTTTAAAACTTGCTGAATATTAACTACGCGAATACAATTTTTAATTTCTTATGTATACCTGAGTTTTTGACGTTTCCTCTTTAAAATATTTGAGCACGTATCCTTTGGATCATTAAAGGTAACATACGTCTTGAAAATATTTGGTTAAATCAAATCTTCTGTACCGAAATTACAAACAACAGCTCGCGAACGCCATATTGTTTCAGAGCGTGGTGTCCACGCGTGACGCGTGGAATACTATAATATCCCACGGTGGATCTTCCGTGGGATATTATAGTATCTCACGCTGCATTGCGAAATCATGAATTTGAGTGAAATACCGTAAAAAATCACATTATCACGTGGTACAAATGCTGTTTTTTCATTGGACAATTTGAATTTGAGGTATAATATATGCATAAATTTCTAGTATCCTTATGTTTTGCTTGTATCCTTATGTCTAGTCCCCTTATGTTTTGTTTATGCGAGTTGATACATATACTTATGAAGATATTTTGTTTTATTATCAGTATTTTTATTTCATTATAAGTTTTAGGCATTTTCATTACCTGATTTAATAGCTCTTCAAATTCCGGTGGCCATTCTTGCATAAGACTTTCAATATCTGGCATGTTTCTGTCGAACAATTAAATTCTCAATGGTAAATTACACTGGAATTTTCAGTAGTTTTATATATGGAAAAAGAATGGATCCTAAAGTAGCTTGAAGTAGTACAAAAAATTCAATTAACTGCCACTTTCATATTACATGTTATATCCAAATATGGATTTCCATTTTCTATTAGATTAGAATATAGAAGTATCACTTTAATATGTTTCGTTCTATAAATAAGCAAACTTTGGTCTTTCATTCCTTTAACTAAAACAGACCACATGGGGGTTATTTTACCAGCAGGGACGAAACTAAAACCTATGCGCCGAAAGGTTGAATTTCGGGATTGTAGAAAGCATCGAAAGGAAGATTTCCACAAAGCTTTAGCAGAAGAAGATTGGGAGGATGTATCGAAGTCCACGAATGTAAATGACGCTGTGAATTGTCTTGAACGTAAGATCATGGATCATATGAATAAATGTATGCCCACAAAAACAGTCTCAATTTCGTCACGTGACCCTTACTGGATGAGTCCTTTAATTAAATCTTTGCTAAAATCTAAATCCAGAATTGCTCGGTCGCAAAAGGATAGACTCAGTTTAATTAACAAAAGTATTTCTGATGTCATTTGTCAAAACAGAAGAAATTTTAGGGCCTTGGTGGGGAGTAGAACTTGGTGGAGAAAGACGAATGATATTTCTCAGCGAAATGCATCGTCATCAAGAGTTACTTTAGATAATGCATCACTTACAAGATTAAATCGCTACTTTGGCGAACTCTGCCACGATGATAGTTATGTCGAACCGACGCTCTCAATTATTGGTGATGAAGTAAATATTCCTAGCTTTACGGAACAGCAGGTATGGAATGCCTTGAAAAGAATAAAGAGGACAGCAACAGGTCCCGATTATATTCCCTATTGGGTTTGGAATGATCATGCGGAAATTCTAACCGAAGTTATAACTAACGTCTGGAATTTGTCCCTTTCATCACATACTTGGTCAGATTCATGGAAAAGAGAGAATATTAACCCTCTTGCAAAGGTTGATTTACCAAAGGAAGATGGTGACTTTCGTGGAATAAATATTACACATGTAATTGCGAGGACCTTCGAAAAGCTCGTTTATAATAGTCAGGTCAAGTCGACAGTTGAGGAAATTTTATCCCCAACGCAATTTGCGTACAGGCAGGGGGGAGTTGTACAAACGCTCTGTTAACTATTCAGAACAAAGTACTCAGCTTCTTAGATAGAGCGAACTGCAAAGCAGTTACACTGTGCCACTCAACCCTTATATCATAAATTGGTATTTAAATTTTCTAAAGAATAGAAAGCAAAGAGTCGTTTGTAACGATTTTTGTGGAGAATGGATGGATGTTAATAAGGGTACAACACAGGGGAGCGTAAGTGGCCCCTACCTTTTTAATATTTTCCTAAATGATTTAGAGGTGGACATAGACGGCGAGAACGCTCTTTTTAAATATGCGGACGATTCAAATATAATAGTGCCAGTTTGGAGTGAGGGTCCTGATACATCAACAGATACAGTTGGACAATTCCTGAGCTGGTCTGATGATAATTTTTATGACTTGTAACCCTGGTAAATGTAAAGAGCTTATCATCCGGAAGAAGGGATATAATGATCAACTTGACAATGTTTATAATATACCCCAATGCAAAGAACTTCCCATTTTAGGTAGTACTTTTCAAGACAATCTCAAGTTCACTAGTCATGTGCGAGGTAAATTGGTCAAAGCAAACAAATGCTTGTACGTTATACGAACACTCAGGGCAGAAGGCTATAGCCAATGTGAGATAGATTATCTATTTAAGACCCTAGTAATATCTACTATAACGTTTGGCCTGTCCGTCTACAGTTCTTCTCCAGCCGAACTCAATACTCTACAACGGTTTTTTGACAGATGTTTTAAGCGAAAGTATATATCAGAACCTGTAAATATTAGATATCTTTTAGAAATACAAGACAGAAATATTTTTAAGGCTTCTGTAAATCAGAAGAGTGCCATAGTCGACTTGATACCAAGAAAAAAATCCACAAGCTATTCTTTGAGGACAGAGTTTAGTCAGTATCCAAGAGTGAACACGGAACGTTTTAAATTGTCGTTTGCAAATAGATTAATTTTTAACTATAACCTATTCATATGATGTAAACTTTACTAATGTATTCTTAATATGTACTTGTAACATAAGATATGTATTTTTATCTTTTGATCTATTAAAAAGACTTTTGAATTGAATTGAATTTGAATCATAAGGAAATAAATACCACAACAAATTACTCACCTTTGATAGTGCACAGTGGGTGGAGGTTTCTGACGATGGAGTTCCCTGAAAAGATGTGTCGATCACATGCTGTAATTAACATGCTTTTTGTAATCTCTATAACAACTATAATGGTTATATAGTTTTAACGGCAGAGTATCCGAGTTTGGAGGTAGAAAGAGCAGTTGTAGCTGGCTAGCCAAGCTGTAGCAAAGTGACGGATGCGCGATAATTGCAACTGTTCTAGGTGACGTCGGGGGCTCCCTGCTGCTAGATACATCTGCCGTTAACTTCGCCTAAATCTATGTTTAACCACATTATCTTTATTTAATTTCAGAAAACAGGCTCCACTGAAAAATTAGGAAGCAATCATTCGTCCAGTGCATGCAAACCCTCCCTAAAAAGCTGGAGAATTTGCGCAATATACGGTTATACCAAAGTAAACGGGCCATAATTGTAGACAAATCAAGTATGGTGTCCACATTTACCAATAAATAAGTTACTTGATATCAATAAACATTACAAATAGCACTCACCTTATACTTTCTATCCAATTAGAAATTGCTTTAGGATTCTTTTCTGGGTCCTCAACTGATTTTACAGCCTTGGAATTAAACATTAATTTATTTAGTAAAAATTCATTCTCCTCGCCGGTCGCACGACTTACTGAATAATTCAGTATACAGTATGTGGAAAACGTCAGCATTGAATTGTTCAATCAAAGGTATTTTTTGTTTTATAAACATGAAAATTTTCTAAAAAAGAATTTTCTCTCCATTATATTGACAAAAATGTCACAAAACCGTTTTTAAAACACTACACTAGAGCTCCAGATATTATATTTTTCGGGTATGTTTGGAGAAAGTGGAGCTTTATATATTGCATGAAATTTAAGGCAAAAAAGTTTTTTGCAAAGAGGAGATTTTTTGTGTGTTACGTAACACGCGCTCAGAACTAATGTTAGTATAATATACCACTTGCGGTTATGACCACATTGAAAAATTGTAGTTTTCGATACGTTTCTCAATCGGAAAACAAACTTAAAAAGTATGTTTAGTGCTTTAGATGGTACGCCAAAAAGAAAATGATGTCTGAAGTTCAGTAAGTTTTGCTGCTTACATTGCTGTATAAATATGGCGTCAATTTTACTGCATCAATGATAATTATATATTTAAATTGACAATATTTAACTATTATTTGTGTTTCTCAACCTCCAGATACATTAAAAAAGGTTGCTAACTGTGTAAACTACAAAATAAAAATAAAACAAAGTAATTTTGAGAGGTACGCCAAAAAGATTTTAGGTTTTGAACACTTTTCATCGCGAATACGCGACATTGAAAAAAGTGCCTCTTAAAGACCTATGAATTCCAGCAACAAAAGGTAGTCGTATGGTGGCAACCTAAATTTCCTCTTCAACATTTTGCGAAATGTTTGCCACTGAACTAGTACAATAAAATAATTTTAGGAAATATTAAAAAAATATTCCGAGAAAAAGCACCCGTTTTACTTAATGGAGTATGCTTTGTTTTAGAATATAGCATTTGCAAATTCTGAACGCTGATTAGATAAAAGCCGTATTGACATAACTCTATGTCAACACGGAAAATTTCTTTCTTTATATTTCTTTGTGCTATATTATAAAAAATATAAAACATATTTCCTTATTGGTATACAGTTATAACAACACGTCTGGTGGAAATTGCCAATTAGCCATTCCGAAGTCGATGAGTGGGCTGGGACGAGTGTTAAAAAGCGCCCAAATTAAGAAATGAACCAAATCAATAAAAAGACCACCTCAAAATTAGTAAGTATACAAAGTTTGAAGACGTTTACTGTACATGAATATCCTTCGAATAATAAGCTTTCGAAAATCGTGATATTTACTATGAAATGTATTGTAATTTCTTGTTTTTGGGACGCGCGTCCCCAAAACAATCTTTTAATCAGTAATTTCACAATTTTCGAAAGCTTATTATTCGAAGGGTATTCATATACACGTCTTCAAACTTTGTATACTTACTAATTTTGAGGTGGTCTTTTTAGTGATTTGGTTCATTTCTTAATTTGGGCACTTTTTAACACTTGTCCCCAGTCCACTCATCAACTTCGGAATGGCTAATTGGGAAACTCGCCCTCCGAGCGTCGTGTTTCCACACGGAAAATGTCCTATATTTGTTGAATATACAACAGACATTATATTGAACAGGTACAATTTCTTACCACTGACTTCTTGCTGGTTTGCTTCGAGACTGTTATCAATTGTAACCCTAAAACTACATTTCACAAAAAAGGATAAATAAGTTATGTGAGTATGCACCAGTTGTTTTGTTTTGTTTTGTTTTGTTTTGTTTTGTTTTGTTTTGTTTTGTTTTGTTTTGTCTTGTTTTGTTTTGTTTTGTTTTGTTTTGTTTTGTTTTGTTTTGTTTTGTTTTGTTTTGTTTTGTTTTGTTTTGTTTTGTTTTGTTTTGTTTTGTTTTAATTTGTTTGGGAGACTCACACTTGACATTTTTCTCTATAAATTTTCATAGACATTATAGACGTATGGTCAACTCGAAAGCGTTCAGCCACTTTTACTACTGCTGATAATAAATCAAATATACACACAGTAATATTGTTTTGTATGTAATTTAAATCACTAAATATTGTGAAATAAGAAAATCTGAAAAATTTAAGACCTCGATCACACCCCGTGTTGCACTATACTAATAATTAGCAATTATTCGCCGAAGGCGACGTGATTATCGGTGAATAAAAACCGAGACGAAGTCGAGATTTTTATTCACGATAATCACCGAGCCTGACGTAAATACTGTAATTGTTTTAGTATAATTTCATAGGTGATTATTTGGAAAAAAAATAAAAAATACACATTTCTTCGTCATTTAATTGATAAAATGGCTTCGGCCGCCATTTCGAAAATCGCTTAGGTGATCATCGCGTTATAATCACCTCAACGGCAACCAATCAGCGTGGAGAATTTTCAATAATCACTTATGTAATTATACTAATGTTAAGTGTGAACAAACTACTGTATACGAGTCATTGATTGTTTCAAATTGGCATTGCATGATTACTTGGCCACTTTTCACGAAGCAATTCCAGGTGGTGTTGAAACTTAATGCTTTTATCAAGGCCATACATCGTATTCATTAGACGTCATTTAGTATATTTTACCTGTTGGATCTGATTGTTTTGCACAAGGTTCGTCCAAAACAGTGAGACCTAAGACTTCTGGTTTACCATCTGGTTTTGATACCTTAACCACAAAATTTATAATTTCACGTTATAGCTATAACGGACTGTTATAGTACTGTAAGGGTTTTCTTTAGTAGGTTAGTTAAAGCTCACAATAGTGAGCTTAAACAAGTGAAGTTTTGTCAACACAGACGTCACTCAAAAATTTAAGCTCCCTAACACCAAAGCTAAAGTGTATTGTGTAAAATAGCTTCTATTACGTATAGTACGTACAGTAAATGTACGTCTAGATCGAACTAAATGTACGTCTAGATCGAACTAATCTCTCTCTCTCTCTATATATATATATATATATATCTATCTGGAGCAACAACTTCAGTCATTCGGCCTGTGAGAAAAGTGAAGACAAGATTGACGTCCAATAGCTATGAAGGTCGTAAACAGTTTTAATTCCATTTTCCCCAGCTATTTCCAGTTTTTCCTACGGACCGTATCACTAAACAAGTTATCACTTCATAAAACCAGAGTGCGTTCTTTAAATCGATGTCAAAATACGAAATTTCGGCACAATCCTTACCAGCTTCGTATTAACCGCGCAGACAAAAACAAAAGAAAGGGACTGGAAATGACGTTCAATATATATGTAGCTCTTCAATTTCCGCCATCTTGGCTTCATTTTTTGGACTCGAGTTCACGCTCCAGATATATATGGAGCTCACTGGATCTGGGTTTAACTTTGAAGATATTTTTAACTCACCTTCAGAAAAGCATCGATATCTCCAACTGCTGGGATGAAATCTGGAATAAATGGTTTCAGTTTGTATTCTAACTCAATTGACTGTGGTGTGTATCTAAAAATATACATAGAAATATATAGACAAACCAGACACGTAACGTAACTAATAACATAAGCATGAACTAATATGGCAACGCGTTTTTAAAAAGTAATATTATTGAACGCGACAATGCAATACGGCATGAGTATCACCGAATTGCTGTATTTTCCAGTACTCCAAAAACAGCAAGGTATATACATGTATTAAGGGTGAAAAATTATAGAGCACATTAGCACTTTTGTGAAGCACCGAAATAATTGAGTAAACAATTTCTATTTGATGAATAGTTCAAAAATATTTCATGAGAGTAACTTCAATGTAGACTAAAGTGTATATACCTTGTAATGTATTGAAATAGTTCTTTTATATCCTGTCCAACAGGTAAGTGTTCATAATCAGCGGGGTCGTACGCTCTGAAATAAAAGATTAAATAATAACATTTATTACTAATATATCGTATTGTCCTTCTAGATTATATAAATACAAAATGTTATATTAACGTTTCCGTTTGCTCTGCGGAAATAATTTTCAAAGACTAACTTGACGGTTTATTGTAAGATACAACAAACCGTCAAGTACTGTATATTCTACGGTTTACAATTAACCATCAAGTCTAGCTTGGAAGAAAAAGGTTTCCAAGAAAATGGTTTCTGTAGAGGAACCCGATCGAAACGTTAGACAAAATAAGCCATTTTGTATATAATCTATAAGAACAATACAAACAAATGAGTAAAACCTGGATTCAAATTCAGAGATACTGAATCCTGCGAATCAAGAACGCGAAAGGAACATTCGATATACACCTGCAGGTTTTCATACATAAAGGAATAAAATATTACGAATCAAATTAACAATGTTGCAAATATTGTTACTGAAAGTGATTTTTTTCCCCATAATGCAAAAACTACTGCATGTTTGCTACAGGCCCAACCTATGCAAATAACTCCACTTTCTGCAGTCTGCTTACAGACAACCAAGATATATGTTGGCTATGTGCTGGCCATAATTATTTAACTGCGCAAGCTCCTAGCCAGTCAGGGGACACGTAAGGACTAAAATGAAGGATAAACGCGCGTTATTTTTTAAAAATATCTTCAGTTGGCGTTTCAAAATTAAATGAAAACAATTTTTAACTAATATGTACTACAGCTCTACATTGATGATGCGATAATGTTTCAGTGCTGCAATATGCAGCAATGAAAAGAAAAACTGGACAACAATATAACAACTTTTTAAAAAACTTCAATAACTTTCTTTTCTTTGACGAGAAAATCGTAGCAGCGAAAGAAAAACCGAAGAGCTTTATTGTACAACAATATAGGTTAATAGATATTGTCCCAGAGTTCCTTTACAGGTACAGTATATCTTCTGTATCAAGGCCTGTCGCTTTGAAGAAAGGTTGTGGCATTTAATAGCCCAAACAAATGATATGACGTCAGCCAAAGTACAAAATATACTTAAGAGTCCTCTGAATTCAAATGGTTTTCCGCGTCTGTCACATTTTCGCCATTTGTATTCAAGTTTAGAATCATAAATATATTTGAATCGATGTGGTCCAGTGTAGGTAGACTATAACTCTACATTAAGTTACAGTATCACAGTTGTAAACTTTGTGGTCCACGGTTTTAAGACACTAGATAGACAATGCTACAACAGGATGTTGCATGACTAAATTGAAAAAGAGGTTAAAAACACTTTAACCTAATCTAAGAACCTCTGCACGAAGGAGCTTGAAAATGAAAATATGGAAGAGCTTTTAATTCTTTCAGGTATTTCAGAACCAACTACTGTACTGACAGTAGTTTCAAAGTACAGGTTAATATGGCTTAATGGAATTATCATGCATTAACTTACAGTCAGACAAAAACATGAACGGGGGAATTTTCGTGTTAAATTAGTATAATGTAACAGCGCATGCACATTGTGGTTTTCTCAACATTCCATGAACTATTATATTTCTACAACCATGCAACATATATAGCGTCGTGCAATAGCTCAGTTTACTCCACACTGTATTTTTCATTCAAATGATCCAATTTTCGTAACTGCGATTCTAAAATGCGAATCTATTCTAAAATTCTAAAAGGAGAATCAAGGAAGCACTGTGATGACTTCATGTTTTTTTCACTGTTCATTTTCACGATAATGGCTAAATTGTGTGATACGCTTATACCCACAGGCAATCCAGAAGACATGTCTGATTAATTAGGCACCTTACCCTTCCAAAGTTCCCCTGTGCCCATCTTCATCATCTTCATCATCAGAACTGTCACTCTGATCATCTCCTTCATCTTCACTTGGGGGCTTGCCTTTCTGTGGGTCTCCTTTGCCTTGCTTCTCTCCAACACCACCACCACCACCACCACCACCACCACCAAGCTGAAGTAAGAATTAGGTCATACAGTACATATTGGGACTTCTTCTTGCTTGTCATTGCAATATGCTTTAATTATATTCAACTCTACTGTAAATTATGGGAATGTGTCATTCATCATTAAAACGCACAAGCATAAATATACCTTTTCAATTTTTGGTCATAAAATTTAAAACAAGATGCATTTTTAGCTGAGCTGATTTATGAAGGTGCAACGTACTGTAACCTGACTGAGTCAAAGGCATACTAAGGACACCTTTGGCTACCACCGTATGATTCAATTGCAATCAATCATGTCTGATCACAGAACACGGACATGACGAAAGGCTTAGTTTTCTTCCAACCTAATGATGGCAATCACACTCACAGATATTATATCTATAATTATTATAACAGTACTGATCTTAATTTTTTGTGTTGATGTTGTGTACTCAGGTGAATATGATGTTTGTGATGTTACTCTGAGTGTGTATCCACACCGGACTCAGAGTAACATCACAAACATCATGTTCACCTGTGAGTGAGTACATAACACCAACACAAAGAAATCATGATTATTAGATTATATTGATGTCGAAGGAACTAGACTCAGTTCCGAAATATCGCATACTCAAACCGACCTGACTGCGTAGCTCAGTTGGCAGAGCATTGAGCTAATACTGACCTTATTTTCTACTAAGTCATCATGATTAAACTCGTCTTCACTTTGGTCTGTCATTGATCCGCGAACTACAATTATAGTACAATTTTGTAAGAAAATGCTGGGGATTGAGAGGGATTCAACTAAAATACAAGTAAAACTTGGAAGTCTTGAAACATCGAAGTTTTACTTGTATTTTTCAAATTTCAAGTATTATTGTCACTACATATACGTTGGCACAGACTGTTTCAATTTAAATTTTGAAAGTATAGTGAATGAACCTTTTCCCAAATTGATACTGTGGAAACGTTTTAAATATCTCCTTACATATACCTATTTTATACACAGAATATTTTCACAAAATATCCTGGCTGTGGTTCCGGTTTCATATCCTGAAAAAATTAGCAAGGATTTTAAATGCTTTCGTTTCACTTTAGTCAGCAATGTGCCAATGCCCATGAGTGTTATCAGCTGGCATATAATTGAAAAATATGGTGTGCAGGAAAGCAGCAGCCTGCACCACAAACGCTTTCTATGATTCGTACATAACGCAAGATTGCAGTAAACTGCAACCACATCGAAAAAAGTTCTGTTGTCAACGAGGGCGATCAGAAAACTGGAACCACAGGATATTTTTTGTCTGGCCTTTATATGGAAACAATAAATAATGGACAATATAGCTTTATTTAATTTACCAAGTAGAAAATTCCTCCCTTTTGGAATAATTATATTCTTTATTTGAATTTTTACAAGAATTTTAATTACACGATTGTCCAATGAAAAAATGTAACACATTGCAAAATATTTCACCAGACATTGACTGGGCTACATACCAGCTCCACGACTCAATGCCGGCCTTGGACTTGGAGTAAATGTGCTAGCTACTTCTTCTTCATCGTTGACATCCAGTGTTTCATCATATGGCTGATTTACGACACGTTTTGTCTAAGAATAGGATTATATATAAACACCATTGTGTTCTGAAAGGACTGCCCTTGTGAAAAGCTAAAATCCGGGCAGAATATGGTTCAAATATAGTGGCCAAGTGAGCGGCCACTTCAAAAACGAAGACATCGTGCTATTTTGCCGTTGTATTTGTGTGTACAGTACAGTGTTGTACAAAAACATTTTTCGATCTAACAACATTAGGTAACCTAAAAATGGCTTTAAAAAAAATTGTGGTTGTGACTTTTCTTCAAGCGTCGTCCTAAAATACGTGAAATAGCGTTCTAATGAGGAACATGGCCCCGAACCCCAAGATTTCTCGCGCCATTGGCGCTCGCATTCGAAATGCCATAAAAAATGTTGACCCCCACATTTCGACCCTGGTTACGCCACTGTTCTGAAAGTTAAAAATGTTGCTATCTAAACTAAAACAATTTTTATATTTATAGACTGGATAGCTTTACCAATTCGTACTGTCTTATAGAGTAAGGTTGGGTTGCAAACTTAGGTTGCCAAAATATTCCTTAAAATTTCGGTATCATATATTCATGGCTTTGGTCCAGAGGCTTTGGTCATACCAATTAAAGAATGACGTAGTTGACTTCAAAGTCGATGGCAGAATCACTGACATTCCCGCCGTTGGCACAGACCCAAAAGTAAGTGTTGGTTTCTTACTGTTACGATCCCAGGTGTCATTAAGCAGTTACAATCCTTGAAACCACATAAACCTAGCGGTCCGAATGAGTAGCCTGTATACAGCCGTTACTCTCGACGAAACGCGCAAGAGAACGTCTGTGAGTTGGATGCATAATCCTTGTTCAGGTCACGTGGATAGTTCCCAGATTTGGGGATCGGCCTCTGATTGGACAGTGCTTTATTTGAATAATTTATGACAAATGAAGCTATTTCATTGGTTAAGTGATAATTAGCATGCGTTTAAAATAACAACACAAAAATTTTAAAATTCCAGATCAAGAATCAAGATTTTCTTCGGGGCATACAAAGGTTTGAAAGACTTGAAATGACCACATTTTTCAATTTTTTTCAATTAATATCAAAGCATATACTGTATGTAGTAAGTAGAGGTGTGCAAATCCGATCCAAATCCGATCGGATTTCGGAACAAAAATATTAATTTTGGATCGGATCGATAGAGTTGTTTCGTAGTCGAATTGGACTTCGATATTCAAAATTACCATGCATTATTGCAAGAATTAATTATCCATGCATTTATCCATGCATTTATCAAAGCATTATCGCGGTCGTCGCAGTATTTATTGTTTGATACTTCAATTGGACGTCACTTTGTCAGCTACTTGACATGTATTTCTTGTTTTTATATTTATTTGGTTAAACATTTCAACTTGAATGAGAAAATTATTTTGTTAAAGGATTCTTCGGATCGGATTGAAATTCTTTATCACAACTCGGATCGGATCTGACAATTTTAGATCGGATCGGATTTTAAACACGAGCCAATTGTCGGATTATAAACGTGCAATCCGATCCGCACCTCTAGTAGTAAGCTAATATATAACCTTATTAAAAACAAGTAAAAACAACAAAATTTAATTAAAGTAAAATGAAGGCTTTTTCTAGTCTAATATTTCAGTACTTCTCATAAACCTGAACTGTCTATGCAGTATCTAATTATGCAGTGGCTACGCCATGGGCACACAGCGCAAACAAAGCCTGTCACAATTTCATTGTCCAGCGGATTAATACATAATATGGTTATAGATTCATGTCTCGCTATTTATGAATGCTAATCCTCACCCTGACCGCTAACCCTGACTCATATTAGCAAGACATGAATCTATAATATCCAATATTAGCTTTTGTATCGTATTAAATTCATATTTAATTCAGGAAAGAGCCTTAATTCTTTTAAGAACTATATTTTCTAGGAATTGAAAGAATTTTTAAGAATTTTATAAAAGCTATATACACATGTGAAGCAATATCACGATAGTCATTGAGCATGACGATAATTTCAATACATTGTCGCTCAAGTTTCTACCTTCAATACAACGTGATTGAAAATATCGTGATTAAAAATGCGGAAAATATAGCCCAACGAAAATATTTGCAAAATTTATATCAATTTGTTTTTACACACTTTCGGCCTAACTGTGGTGCATTTTCCCCACACGCAATACAAGTTAATTAATACAAAATTTGCAAGGCTATATTTTCCACATTTTACAACATTTTGCGGCCAAACTTTGCAATTTTACTAACTTTAACGAGCTCTGTCTAGCTGTGGTGATGGATTTTGTTCTTCTTGCCGAGATCAAAATTTAGGCTATAGCTGGAATCATCCATTGTTATTGTAAAGTTCTATTGAGGAACAACAATGCTACTGGCATGATAGAATTTCACAGACAATAGTTTAATAATTCAACATGAATTTATTTTGCAAACCCTAAAACTGCAGACTATGTCATACACTCTCCTCCGCAGAGCCGCCAGAGCCCTTTTGTATTAAAATGTACAGTTATTTAATAAAAAAGAACGAAGTGACTATATGACCGGCAGCCGGTCACGGTTTATAAAATACTAAATGGCCGGCAGTCTAGTGACTATTGTTAAAGTTTAATTTTTATAAGATAAACCTATCCCCAACCCCAAACCCTTCTCTAACCCTAACCCCTAACCCCTAACCCTAACCTTTTGAGAGTTAGAAAAGTCGGGGGAAAAAGTTTAAAAAATTTTAAGAAAAAACAATGCTAAGTCAGACAAAACACATCCCGACCGACCCCGACTGCGTTTAACTTTCCGCACGCAGCGCCCTTGCCGTATGAGCTAACGGCAAGTTCGGTAAAAGTTAACGCAAACAAAAGTTTTTATATTCAACTATAGTCACTAGACTGCCGGCCATTTAGTATTTGATAAACCGTGACCGGCTGCCGGTCATATAGTCACTTTGAAAAAAGAAGCGGTTCCAATCAAAACATATATTCTAAAGGCTAACCCCAGGCATGAGAGAAATGCCATTTGGAGCCCAGCTTATTTCTCAATTTAATACATATTTTAGCATTTTTTGACAATATTTATCCTGTCATAGTAAGCCAATATAAAAATACAAATATACTCCAACCACACGTGAGCTTGGGATGCCTGTGAGACTTTTATGGACTGGGAAACTTTTACTACATTCAGTCAGTTATTCCCAAATAACAACTTCAAAGTTGAAATGTTAAGGCTTAACATTTAAGCAATACTGATCAATTTACAGGTTTCATTGTCTTTCAACATTTTCACTGCAGTTTGGAGTTGTTTTCACTCAAATGTGAGACCCAACACTACACGCGATGGTTACCTAGCAGCAAGTAAATAATGGCTGTGTAGAACACTATTTAAAATATACAATATACGCACATTTGAAAAAATCTGAAAGCAAAATAAGCCTAAGTGCAATAAAAAAATGAATGAAATGTTTATCTCTTTTATATTACTCGATCACAGTACTTTAGCTTCAAATTCAACAGTACTTGTTTGCTATATCAGTCAAAACGCTCAGAACTTTTACAACTTCAAACATCTCACTCATAGAGCCATTCGCACGACGAATTAAAAGCAAATGATGAAAACAATAATTCAACAACCGCTTGATTAAAATGGTAAGCCTTCTATACAACAAACAAAGGATGCAAAAGACGCGACACATAACAAAATAAATCATAACATACCTCATTTCTTTCGTTATCCGAGTCGTCATGGTCGGCCATGAATACGCTACCTGTGCTGCCTCATACCCAGGCGCTTACATGAAGTATTCAGGTAGGCATCCGACGCGCGAAGGGGCTGTTGGGAAGGGTGCGTCCTCTTCCCATCAGCCCCTTCGCCATCTCTCCCCACTACAATACTTCATGTAAACACGTCATATGGGCATCACTGCTTTTTTACAAAGAGACGCCTGGGTACGAGGCAGCTACCTGTGCGTACCGCAAATTCTTCTGGGAAAGAAGATTGTCACCTGCACATATACATCACTGATCTTACATACGTCATGTTATTCCACAGGTTATTCGAATTGTACACTCTGAGGTCAGAGCTCTGAGGTAAGAACATTTTTCCACTTGGCGAATTTGTTCGCGCGAACAGCAAACCGACTCACGGATAAGATCAAATGAAAGAAAGAATTAGAGCAGATTGCAGTTGTTTTTGCCAACCAGGCACCGCGCGAATTTTGCCATTTCACCAATTTGTCGTGGTTCATTTGCCAAATCAAAAGAACGAACGCGTGCAATGGTGCGATCTTGTTTCCCGAGCCTGCGATCCACGGGAAGGAACGTGAGGCTCTGGGATAATCCCTAATCCCATTAATCCGTTTCAGGGAGGAATCTGATTGGCCGTTGATATGGATGCGCAGTTCGGTCTTACTAGCCAGGATTCCTGGCGGCAATGGATTATCCCAGAGCATCGCGTTCCTTCCCGAGGATCACAGGCTCGGGGAACGAGATTGGAACGCGTGCTCCGGCCCGATTCGCAAGTAAACAGTGCGCGCAAAGCAGGCTGGTCATTTCCCATTGTTTAACTGCCCCAAAAAGTAGGAACTGGTCCTACTTTTTCGCGGCGAATTTGTTCGCTGACCAATAAAGTATTAGATGCTCAAAATCCTATAGGCTCGTTTGAGACCATTGTTTCAGACCAACCTCGTCCCCAGGCTCTTTCTTTCAGACGGCGTACTTTCCATGTGCCGAACCAATCTCGTTCCCCGAGCCTGCGATCCTCGGGAAGGAATCGAAGGCTTTGGGATAATCCGTTACCGGAAGCCAAGAATCATGGCTAAGATTGAACTACGCATTCCATTTCAATGGCCAATCACATTCCTCCCTGAAACGGATTATCCCAGAGCCTCGCGTTCCTTCCCGAGGATCGCAGGCTCGGGGAACGAGATTGGTGCCGAACTGGTTCGGCAGAACTTGTCACATTATGCGATGTTGTAGCATTGCTTTGCGTACGTTGTAAGTAATATTTCAAATCCAAGTATAGCAATGAGGCATGAAATTATTAGCTATTCAATTATTAGCTATAGCTAGGGGCGCATATAGTTGATAGCCCACTGCCCCCCCCCCAGAAACATAGTACCCAGCACGCCATTGCGTGAATAGAATGAATTTTGTTGGCAAAAGAGCATGGCATCTTCTTATGGGAAAAAGCGGTTTCGAGAACCGGAAAGTGTTGAGCAAAGTTTTGAAAATGTAAAGAAAGCCACTCGCTGACAATTCTAAGGATGGAGATCCGTACCCCCGAAAAAACGACATCAGATAGTTGTGTGTGTGTGATAAGGCGTTATCTGGTGGAAAATTGTCGAATATATTAGACGGTAAACATTACTGGTAAGTTGCTGTATTATTGCTGTACTGTTTATTATGATAGTTGGTAAACAATCGTAATTTTCCTTTTCGTATATTTATGTAGTTTTCAAACGTTCAGAAAAAGTGTTAGATGTAAAGTGTAGTTAGAAAAAATTTCTAAATACAGCTTACTGTATTTAGAAATAATTCTAAACATAGCAATTAAATATATTTGCATAATCTTTTGTTTACCCCTCAACTTCCCTATTGTTCAAAGCCCTCCCACTTGAAGTAATTAAACTCCTGGTCTAGACGGGGTATACAGATAGATACATGTGATGTAAATTACACCATGTCATCACGGTTGTTTCATTGGCCGAAATGCTATGAATATCTAATGTGTTAGAAGATTGATTCATATCGCTGCTACACTCATGTGTCAAACCTAATAAAATTTGTTATTGTATAAGATTAGTCATTTTGAAATTTAAAAGTAGACTTACTTGTTTTGAATTTTATCTAGGTTTCGCTGCGTCCAGCGTCGCAGCTAATACAATTATGACAATTATGTTCGGAACATGAAGAGTACGCCGTCTGAAACGGGCCTGTTGCACGCGCACAGCATTCTTGTGGTCGATGCATGATAACAACTACCTCAGGGGACAAGGAGAGGTAGCATTCTAGCCCATATTAACGTACAGTATGGGCATAAATGAAAGCCAAATATATTCGCCCATAACGTCAGACGCATTTTGCCTGCATTACTATATAATAGTCTAGAACCTGTATATGGCTTTGTATGCTTTTCATTTAGGACAGATAATCTCAACTGTTTTAGGGTACGTTGATCATGACGGTCAATATGGTAACGCTGCCCAAACCCCAAACTGGGACGAACCATCCGAAACTGACCACACCCAAACCGACGCTTTGGCATATTGCTATCTACCAAAGTTGAAACCATAAAAGCATTGGCTATTTTGAGGTGCTCATATGGTTCAGAGATGGTGCTCAGGGGTGGTCATTGGTAAGTGTGAAATGCCTAGCACTGATATTTCACAAGAAAATAACCGTAAATTAAATAGATACAGCGGAATAGGCCTGTATAATAACAACCCCAGCGACAAACGCTCAATATATCGAAACTGATTTAGACTGTTCGCAGGTCACAGAAACACAGCTCGCAAATTTAGCTGTTTGAAATTAGCAGTCTGTCAATCTGTCATGTTTCGTTAGGATTTTTAAAATATCATAAAATAATTAACATTGGGATTGCAATTCATGGTTAATTACAGGAACAAAAAGGCTAGCTACTTGTATACCGTATATGTAGCTTGATCATTACTCTGGTTAATTCGTGTTTGGAACAGAAAGTTCTTTTATTCCAATAAAAGATGGGCAGTTTCGGCTCTACTCTCTATCACCACTTCCTCAGTATATTTCAGTTTGGCACACTTCACACAACCCTGTCAGTAAGCCTATCCATGATTTCTAGGAACCGGAAACTGTCGATTCGTCTTGGATAAATATCAGCATTTTGGGCATCTCACTCGATAGAACGAATTGTATAGAAAGGTCTTGTAGATGGAAACTTCGAGCGGAAATTTTATAGATTTATTAGACCTAACGAGGAGCAGTCGCGAAAAATGCAACTATTAGGCCCACTGACAGGATTTCAGTGCAGCGCTCTAACCAACTGCATTCATACTGCAGTTGTCGAGTTCTAACGGCAAGTTTATCATGTATACATACTAACGTGATACCAGTGTAAGATGCATGCATGGGCAGGGTCACAGGTTCGACTCCTGCAAGAGGGCCTACAGTTGCATGTTTCCAGGTATGAAATTTACACCAAAATTTCCATCTACAAAAACCTTCAACAATTAGTTATATCGAGTGAGATGCCCCAAATCCTAATATTTACCCATACATCTCACATTGGCATCACCTTGGTCTCCTATATATACAATCATGAACTTGTGGTTAGAGCTCGACAACTGGCCTCTGTAGCTCAGTTGGTTAGAGCACCGCCGCTGCACCGAAATCGCAGGACCGCAGGTTAGATAGGGGCCACAGAGCCGATGCATGGTTGCAGTTTTCGCAGCTGCTCGTGGTTAGGATTAATAAATGTATGAAATTTACATTCGAAATTTCCATATAAAAAAACCTTCTACAATTGATTCTTGGTTGACTTGATGAAGAATTCGAGGTAGTGACAATCCCGCGACCTCGTGTGAAAGACCAGAAGAGCCTGTTGCATTCCAGAATTTATAGCTGCGAACAGCATAATGGGTATACACCTAATTTTAATATTTTACTAGTATCCTATATGACAATAGGATTGCCGCCTTTACTTTTTAGTTCCCAAAGGAGACAATGATACACCATACATCAAACTGGTCATTTTCTTGCCAAACTATGCTGCATGCCTAGCACTACAAAAGTACCGGCTATAGCCGATACTTTTATAGTGTTAGCCATGCATGCAGCAGACGCAGGCATAGTAACCTGAAATTCAGGCCCTAATTTAGAATAGGGCCTGACACAAAACCTATCTAAACCGTGGGATTCCCGTCCATCTGGCGGACGGGAAATCTGATTGGTTGATCAGCATCATGAAAGATTTTGATTGGTTGCAAGTTCACATAAACAATATTTCTTTTCTTTTGTGCTTTATGGCAGAAAATAAATCAAACAAACAGTATTTTGAAAGGGCTTTATCAAAATCTTTGACGAAGTTTGGACACACGACGCTGAAAGAACAGCAAAACTAGTCATGTATTAGAAAGCTTGTTGTTGACAACTAAAATGTCTTTGCTGTTCTACGCCAACTGGCTTTGGCAAAAGTCTTATTTATCAGGTCCTACTGACGTTGTTTTCTGAGCTACATCGCCTTCTTCGTGGTACGATTGAGAATTTCGTTGTTGCTGTTGTTAGCCCGTTAGAAAGCTTGGCATTTAAGCCGTGCACAGAACTGACTAATAAATAAATTTTTGTTTGCTGTTCGGTTAAATAGAGAAATTGAACTTTTTATTATATAAAAGTACCTTGAATTTTTTAGTTTAATAAAAAAGCAAAATGCACACTCTGCGGACATGTTCATAAGAATATCATTTTTTTGTGCAGTGAAAATTATGAAATCTACAACACTTGTCAATCATATTGCATGACTGTGTCTAAAAATAACATGTGGGCGTCCCACGGTCTAGACAGGTTTTGTGTCAGGCTCTATTCTAAATTAGGGCCTGAATTTCAGGAACTGCAGAATTCACTCCTCAATACAGGAACAATATGGAAAATTACAACACGGTTGAAGACGTGGATTTGGCCAGGCATTTGGATATCCGAGTTGCTTTGGAACTGGTCTTATTTCTTGCTGATGGTTTTTCATTGCTTGTTTCATTTTTAAGAGGACATTTTGATGTACTTCGAGCGATGAATCAAGTTTGTTCCTTTCATAAGGATCATGCGTGACATCATAGAGTAAAGGAGGATCATGGTGGGTAACATGGCCAGCAAAACATTCGCAAAGGATTACTGTTCTATCACAGATTTCTTTACCAGGCGCCCATACTGGAGTTATAAAGTGCGCTTTCCATGTAATATTTCCTGAACGTGGTCGATATCTGATCGCATGGATGGCACTTCCACAATAGTGAAACATAAAGTCGTGAGGAGATATACTTTGTTCCTGAATTAACAATGGGAAAATGTTTTTCCCGTCAATTGTTCTATCCCTTGGTATTGCCCCTCCAGCAAGTTCAATCATTGTTGTAAAAATATCCATACTGTTCGTTGGTTCATTGATTGTGATTCCAGCCGGAATGCGATCCTTCCACACTGCAACTGTTGGTACACGTATTCCTCCCTCCCAGCTTTGTCCCTTCCCTGGAGAAATAATACATGGCAGTATAATCATTATAAACAATAAAATTATGAACCCATTGAGTTCCAACATGCCAACATACCTTCGAAAAATACAATTGTCTGGCGTTGGACGGAATTATAGTAGGGGAGTATAATAGCGCAATGCCAGTTATTTAACAATTATTCGCCGAAGGCGAGGTGATTATCGGTGAATAAAAACCGAGACGAAGTCAAGGTTTTTATTCACGATAATCACCGAGCCTGAGGTAAATAATTGTTTTAGTAAAATTTCATAGGTGATTATTTGGAAAAAATAAATTTTAAATTTCACACATTTCTTCGTCATTTAGTTGACAAAACGGCTTCGGCCGCCATTACGAAAATCACTTGGGTTATTATCGCGTGCTCAACGGCATGTAACCATGGATAATAAAATAAATTTATTTTATTATCCATGATGCAACCAATCAGCGTGGAGAATTGTCAATAATCACTTATGCAATTATACTAAATCTTATTAACTCATTGACTGCAAACACTTAGTTTCCCTTGATGAGTAAAATCATTTGGTGTTAGAGAGACAGTAAAATAACAAAGTAGGGCGCATTAAGGAGCAATAAAGATTTAAGTTAGAGCCCAGCAAATGTATACTTAGTATTTTTGCACAAGTGAACAAATCCTACAAATTGATTGGTCAAATTGCCCCGGGCCCCGAGGTGCTGGGGGCCCCTGAAAACTTTTGTTGGGCCCCAGTCTTTTTTGTGTGTTAGGTGGTGGTCCACTACCAAAAATTTGACTTTTATTTTGAAATTTGTGAATTTTTATAATACACAGATTTATATACTATAAACTGTTGTTAATCATATGTGCGGGTTTTCATTCCGTAAAAAACTAGCTTGAAATCCAAGAAAATGAGAAAATTCCTAAGGCTTTGGCATATTTTTGCCCTAACAACGCCCTTAGCAACCGCTGTTTTGTTCGTAAAAACTGTATAAAAACCATCAGACGCCATTTTGCAACTATTTTGCATATATTACATGCCATGCATGAAGTAGGGTATGTTGCCTATTTGAAAAAGCCGCTGAAAATTTGTGTTGGAATTTGTGGGCTTCGTTTTGAAGCTCATTTTGGTGATCAAACTTTCAAGTGAATTTTGTGTTATTTGCTGTTGGATATTTTTGGTGACCACAAACTTTCCTAAATTTCAGCACATTTTCTCGCAATGAATTTCATCTTGTTTTCACTTGCGAAAAATATGATAACATAAGAAATAGTTCAAATAACATACTAAAAAACCTGTTTAATTTGAATACAACAACAGAAAGTAAACAAAAGTTACTGGAACACGTAATGTCATCCGACGAATCAGTTCTTGTAAACTTATTATCCAAATTTATTTCTCTTTGCTCTATTGAAAGGGAAATTAGCCTCAAATCCATGGAACTCCACTGAAATAAGTAAAAAACAAAACAAATTTTCGGCAGCAAATTTCAAATTAATTAAATAATTCTAGAATGCATGCTGCAAAATACTTTTATACTTATTTTATTATACCTTTGTAAAGTAGTTCAACTTATACAAATAACTATATTAGTACATTAGCAATAGATACATATACGTTAATCTTAGCTCCTATACTTATTACCATTCTAGCAATACCTGTAAATAGGTCATGCTTTTGAATTAATAATAATAATAATAATATCTTCTTAAGCCCCCCCCCCAAAAAAAAAAACTTTCCAACATTTTCTCCTCTCAGCACATTCACACGCCCCTGTGTATAATATTCGTATATTGCAAGGACTAACGACATAAATGCCATTAAATATATGGGTTTGTTGATTTCCACATAAAATGTAAATAATATAAAATAATATCGACATATTCGTACTAACTCACCTCCTTTATACCCTCCATTCGAACCACCAAGCCGCTCCCCAGTGCTGGGTTTAACAATTTCCAAAAACGGGCCATGATCCGATGTAAAATACACTAAGGTATTTTCCAGGAGATTTTCCCCTTCCAGTGCTGAAACAATTTCTCCGACACTCCAGTCCATTTCTTCTACATTATCACCATAGCGACCATGCGCGCTGTGACCTTTAAACTTCGGCGACGTGAACAAAACTGCGTGAACTTTTGCATATGACATAAAAAGGAGAAATGGTTGCTTTTTGTTCTTGCGTATAAATCTTTTGGCATCATTTGTGAATCGTACTGTTAGGTTTTCAAGGTTTGTTGGTTGTTCGACAACTTCAAATCCACGCATTGTAAGGCAACACATTCTTGAAATAACGCTCTGCAGGGGAAAGGGTACAACGAGAAGGGATAGCACACTGAAACACATGAGTACGATGGTGTATTTCGTGGATATAACACCCGTGAAGAGCATTCCTAAACCCAAAACGACGCAGCCTATAATAACAGGGTACAATGTGTTCTGTAACAGAAGCAAGAAACTAGATCCCTCGGCAATAGGACCACAGTCTCGTGCGTTTGTGAAAGGAAGACCATAGAATTCGTGGAAACCCATGTTAAGTGGATGATGGCAATTATCACGACTTTTACAATGCAATCCAAGATGCCATTTTCCAATTAAACCTACAAAATGAGTAACAAACATGTAAATGGTGCCATTTTGCTTCATTTTCTGTACCTATTCGAGCTTTAGGTACATGCAGGGTAAATGAAAAAAGGTAATCCAACTTTGACATGCATATTTTAGTTATCAAACGACACCTTTTTGTAACATTGCGATAAAAAATGGCCAAATACGATCCGATTTCAAATTCGAATATTGAGAGGCGTCTGTTGAGTAAATTTTTCTAGCGCGTTGCATTTTGGTCGTAAAATTTGCAAGTGTAAACTATTGAAATCAGTGAATATAACTGGAACGGTACCTTCAGATAAACTGCCTATATATTTTTCTTGAAGCCAAATCTTGACTGATTGAGCGCTCTTCGCACGCGTGAAAAGACTGGGACTTGGCCCTCAAGTTGGCTTCAAATTTCCGGTTGGAGGTAGCGTTCCGGTTATACAAATAGTGTATGGCGTTTCTAAATGCAGTCTAGGTCTATTTAGGTCAATCCTAATTTGCATATTGTTACGAGGGCCGCCCGAGCTTGGGCCTGGGGACGAGGATGATATTGTTATTGTAAAAAAGTAAAATTACAATATGCAAATTAGCTGAATGCATGAATTAAGCATGCGTGAGAGGCATTGGTGCCAAGAAATGAAAGTTTCAGAGGCTATTTAAAGGACTTAAAATTCGGAGCAAATTTTCTGATATTTGGATCATTTATAAAACACGTAACAAATTTCTCGCCCATGAACTCAAAATGCGTTTTAAGGTTACAGGACACCCTTTTTGGCGTTTTGCGGAAAATCGCTACTGCGCGCTCAATATCAGTCCGATTTTAATGAACTTTTCACCAAATATTTGCCATGCAGTGCATGCAAAATATCGCGGTACCGTTACACTTTTGAGTTCTGCTCCTACTGGTTTTAAGTTATATTTATGAAAATATCATTTTTATACAGCAAAATAGTTGTTCTAAAAAATAGTGTTCGGAAATTTTTGTTTATTTCGTCATTCGCTGATATGGCGATTTCTTTGACGACTGCAATATATTTCTGAATTGTTTGAGTGAATTGCTCTTTATTATTAAAGTGTCCAAAATTTAAAAAAAGCCGAACACAATTTTGAAACTGACGTCTTTACTACTTTAGCTATGTCCTAATCAGTAATTACCGTAAAATTCTTCGGGAGAAAATTGAATTTGAATATTACATTTTCAATGTTTTTCTTATTGCAGCGAAATGTATTTTATTAAATAACTCTGCGAGTTTTCAACATTTTTCGTTGAAACTTGGTCAGATAGTAGAACTAGTCTAATGCTTTCATGGAAACCAATAAAGAAATTTTAGACAAAATTAACACTCAAAGGTGTTCTGTAACCTTAACCTTTTAAATTTCGCGCTATTATTCTATCAAAAATTGCATGACATGAACGGATTTGTGAAATTGAGAGCCATTTCAAAATTGTCTACTTTTTTATGATACACCCTACTTTTTTCTACTTTTTTCTGATACACCCTACTAAAATTCTGTACTTTTTTCCTGTACAACTGTCAACAAGACTCTTTCATTATATCAAAAATAAAAAATTCTATATAGTGCCATGCCAAAAAAAAATTATCAGAGAAAACGATGTTTTTGAAAATGGCGTTACAGAAATTTCTTTATATTTTGTTTATTGTTACGGTCTATTTTCTAATAAAGTAATGTACGAAAAAAATTGAGGGTTACCGTTTCGTACGCGTGTGTTGCCATAGCAACGAACCATGTGTTACCAAAACTACTAATTTCAAAGATAAAGCTGTCAAAGGCGACATATTAAAATATATGAGCATAACGATATCTGATGCATAAATTGTAAAAATGTCAAACTGTTATACCTGGGGCCGGTTGTATAAAACTCTTAATCACTTTTTTAATCACTATTTTGTAGTTAAATAGTGATTAACTCTCAAATAGGCGCTTCTTATTGGATGACGTTTCAACTTTAATCACTTTTTTATACAACCGGCCCCTGAATTTTTTATACAAACTGTATCAAGCCACCAGCAATTCATTTTATATTAAAAGTCCAGCCTTTTTCATCTGGCATTTGATATAACATTCAAAATTACTTCATGCCCCTACTTTCTTGGGGGTATCCTGTCAAGAAACGTTTTTTACTTGGCTTTATTTTTCATTAGAAAATAAAATTATAATTGGAACTTAAATTGTTGCAAATCCATTTATACCCTCAGTATTTATATTTTGTATTTCAACCCTATATTCTATAATACAGTAGCAAAAACAACTCATTTTCAAACCACAATTCAGCTCGCCGAGATCTTCGGTTTTACAGTATCAAGAGTAAACATTCCTGAATTCACTGAATCCATGTTATTTTATTTTAGTTTCCTTGTAAAAAAGTATAATTTACTCATGAATATTTCAATGCCACTTTAACCCATTGAGCTGCAATGTGCCCCAGTGCGCCCTACTTATTTTTTTACTTGTCTAATGCCAGACGATTTTACTTGTCAATGGGGAAGCTCTGCAGTCTGTAGCTTTATAATGGGTCAAGGTCATGTTCACTGCGTCACTGACCCAAAACATGCATAAATACAATGGGAATTTAACTAAAATGCAATAAGCCAAATATATATATATACAAAATTATTCCAAAATGCTTTTATTGAATTACTAATTAATAAAAAACTTATCAAAACATACCTTTGAGAAAACAAGATCTTCACAGCAAAAATTGCAATATATTTCAACAGTTTTTAATCAAAAGGCACGTTGTGAAATAAAGATTTTGAATAATAATGAACCCGCATTGTGGCGCATTGCATTTTCGGGAAGACCTGCATAACCTTATTCCTCGTCTGGTAACGACCCACCTACAGTGTGGACCACACGCCATAATGACACAACCTGTTATTCAATGAGAACACTTGCAGGTCCATGCCTGCAAAATAGCTGTACATGGATCCAATTGCAAGCTGCTGGCCCAATTAGCTGTCCAGCTGAATCGACGGAATTGTGCTGATCGATCACCACTGACCTGTACTGATTATGGGCTCAGGACCCGGGCCCAATCATCATGACGCCATAGTTGCATTTTGCATAATTGCAATCAAAAAGTACAAGTGAGAAAGAAAAACATGAAAGAAAAACATAAAAAAAAACATAGTTTCAGTGATGATGGAAAGCATTTCACTGATTTTGTTTTACTGAGATATTTTACTGATTTTCATACCACTTTAGTTGACTCAGGGATGTAGGAACACATTCGAGATTGGGGGGGCCGAATTCCTCGAGGCGCCACCATGGTTGGTGCCGAGCGGAAAATTTTTTGAAAATTAGAGGCTCTAGATCCTTGGAAATGGCCATTTCAGAGTCCTATTTAGCCATATCAGTTTCGAATTTCACTGCATTTATTGTAAATTGAGTAAATTCAATGATTTTTGGGAGGGCCGAAAGCTATCTCGGCCCCCCCTTATAAATTTTTGGGGGGGCCGCACCCCCCCGGCCCCCCCGCTTCCTACGCCCCTGAGTTGACTGCAGGCAACTGTTGTTCAAAGCTGGGTTGGCAGTAACCATGGGTTAAAATTTAACCTGCTGTTTTAGTTTGGGTACATTTACACATCTGTTTATTTCAAAACATTGGAAAATAAAACTTCTATTGATCCAGACATGAATTTTGGAAAACTATATTTGTGTTTCTAAACAGGATGTTGGGAAAATTGCTTTGCAATTTGCATTAACCTAGGATTAAGGTAACCGGTTTTTGAACAACCGGCCCCAGAAATTTAGTAATTTTTTCTACATTTTGGTAAATTTTGGCATGCTTTAAATGCTTATTTATTAATTGCCTTGCAAAATATCTGGTCCCCACCTAGCAGCATAAATTAATTTATTAATTAAAAGCACTTTTTAGTTTCTAGACGTTTTGTCAAGTGAAGACGGTTTAAAACATTGGTACCAACAATAACATGTGTATAAATATGAAAATCCGAAGTACAGTTTACAGTATATAATAATTACTGCACTATTAAACAAAATAAATTCATACATACAGTCAGTGTATATATAATGCAATTTAAATGAATAAAGTTTTTTGGTATAATCAATCCCCAAGACTTTCAGTCGTAAGGCAGCACATCCCTTGCGATAGTAACTTCTAGTTTATTAATTGCCTTGCAAAATATCTGGTCCCCACCTAGCAGCATAAATGGGCCATCCATTTAATGTACCCCCAACAAAAATCCATTAGGAGAAAGAAATTTTTCAAGATATATCCATGGGTAAATATAAAAAAATCCAAATAAAAATCCAAATGGAAAAAATTTAAACAAAATAAATCCATGGTAGTAAAAATATGAAATGTTAAAAAATCCATTGCAGTAAACAATTATTGGTACAGTAATAGTTAAAAATAAAATCCATGGTGCTAAATTGCAGCATTAATGCTGTTATTTGTTATTTTGGGCTAAGTACTGAAATTTGGTATGAAAAATTGAGATAAAGTACCTGGAAAGCAATTGCAACGTACTCGCCCGGAATTTTTTTTTACCTAGAAAGTTGTCGACGGGGGAGGGATGTATTAATTCTATTTCAAAGAACATATGCAAAATATCCATTGAACAAAATCCAAAAATCCAGGGGGAGAAATTATGTTACCCACAATAGGTTAACAAAGGTTTAGAAAATCCACGGGAAATGTTAAAATGAGAAATCCACATACCCTATTACTAAAGCAATATCCAGGGGGTATTTTTTGAAAACCCTCAATAGGGGGGGGGGGTGCACTTAATAAATGGGCCATTCCATTTAATATGTGCACCCCCCCTATTGAGGGGTCCTTAAAAGTTTTACCCCCTCAGGAAATTGAACATCAAAGTGCCGACACATTCCCCCCCCCTTGGAAATTGGCCTATGTTGTTCGAAGATCAAAGGGACCGACTGATTTACCCCCTCGGAAATTACCAATATTAACCCCTCCCTCCCCATAGGATTTCCAGACCCCTCAATGGGGGGGGGGGTGTGCACATATTAAATGGAATGGCCCAATTAAATTATTAAAAGCACTTTTTAGCCACTTACTTGTTCGATAGCCATTTTCTTGTAAAACTTCAGCAAAAGTAGTTTCATTGTTTGGCAAGCCAGCACTAGAAGCAAGACTGGAAATAACTCGTAATTCGCCGGGTCCCGAAGCTAGCCCAGAACGTATTGCGTAACGTCCTGTTAACATCGCTGCACGACTGGGTGTGCAGATCGATTCCGGGGACAAATTGTGATTTAATTTCGCTCCACGCTCCGCCAAACGATCGACATTTGGCGTCTTGATTGTATCGTTGCCAAAACATCCAATATCCCCGACGCCCAGGTCATCAACTAAAAGCACAACGAAGTTCGGCTTTTGGAGTGATATTGTCTGTCCCGTAGGCGTAGCTTTGTTTGTGCTTAGTGTTTCATCCAAGGAAATTATACCATTTGCCAGTAATGTCAGTAATATAATAATAAAGTCCGCTCGATGAAAAAGATTAACTAGAAGTACAAAAAACATTGCTTTATATAAAGTCCTGTTCTATATTCGATGTGTAACTATGTATATAAAAGTCAGCTCAAATATTGACTTAATTGGTCATGCCGAAATGCGGAAAAGGACTGGCACGAGCGTGCTTTTCGACAAAAGTTCAATCTCGTACCCAGAGCCATCGTTGAGTGGCTCTGGCCACACGAGTTGAGTTAATTAGAAAATACGGTAAAAGAAGGTAAAAGTACAATCTCGTTCCCCGAGCATGCCCGTTCGCAGGTTAAGGGTGGGCATAGCTCTGGAGAAATCGAATTGATTCACGTTGAATTTCCAACGTGAGTTCTACGCATGCTCGGCAATGTTGCAAAATATAAATAAAGTATTTAGAATTTCGCGTCGAAAATTTGATACGTTTTACACTGAAATCGAATTGAAAACAACTAAAAATTCTGGGGGAAGTATGTACGAAAGCTTCGGTTGGATAGGGATACAGCTACCTGAAAAATACAAGGAGAACTTCGGCGTTTCGAGCGAAGGCGCTTCGACTTGACGACTTGTGCTGTTAGTGTTTGTATACATCGTACTTGACCTTTGCTGATAAATATAATCTCCTCAATAATAAGTATTATATATTTTGATGCTTTAAAATTTACATTTAACTCTTCTGTCAGAATTTATGGTATACGTAGTGTTAGGTATGACAGTATATAAAAGGTCAAGTACGATGTATACAAACATTAACAGCACAAGTCGAAGCGCCTTCGCTCGAAACGTCGAAGTTCTCCTTGTATTTTTCAGGTAGTTGTATCCCTATCAATCCGCAGCTTTCGCACATATTTCCTCCAGAATTTCTAGTTGTTTTCAATCGATTTCGGTGTAAAAAGTATCAAATTTTCGACGAGAAATTCCAAATACTTTGTTTATATAGAACTCACGTTGGAAATCCAACGTACTATCTGCCGTTAGCCAATCACAGGCCTGAATCAATTCGATTTCTCCAGAGCTATGCCCACCCTTAACCTGCGAACGGGCATGCTCGGGGAACGAGATTGGTAAAAGTACAGTATTTTCCAATTAACTATTTCGTACCCATTCTCCGGGAATTCGCGCGCGCCATAGCATTTTCAAGAGGAGTGGAGAGCTAACTTTTTGCTGAAAATATCAATAAAATCGCAATTTTTCCCGTCAAAAGCATTAAAATATGTTCGGCGCAGTTAGTGTGAACAACAAGGATAGTGAGTGCACGTGTGATTTCCGTTTAACAAGTAATTTGAGATGATTGAAACACCGGCTTGTACACATGTCAACACTCATCGAGTCATCGATCAAACATTTTGTCTCAAATGGCTTCTATTTCCTTCAAAATGTTCTGATTTCTTCTATAAGGTATAAGTACGTTTAATTATTTGTTATATAAAAGTAATTTAATAACTTTCAGCTTTATTAAATAGGCTATTCTTGAGCAAGAACGTTGCTTGTTGCACACTGCCTTGGTTGCCTTTAATTCTTTAATTTGTTACAATTTATATTGTTCATGTCATCATTATTTTGTTTCAAGGTTAATTTTTGAACCTTGGGCTCTGAATTTCCATCCTAATTGTAGTCTAGTTAGAATACCACAAAATATATTGTGTACACCCTAAAAATGCAGCAGATTTTCAGAAATTCTATAGCATCCTATGAGCTGTCATATGATACCCTTTATTTATTTAATACTATTATACAGCATTATTATGAATCTATCATACCTAGGGAATTTAAAACCATAATGCTATTCTTTATACAATGATAAAATAAAGATTTTTTCTCAATAAGGAAGGTCTGTACTGCTGTAGCAATTAAGCAAAAGCCTGTAGCAGTATACCAGTGTGTGTTTAATTTTTACTTAACTTGACTATTTTATAACTTTAGTTTTACATTTCTTTCAGATACACCTGGGACTGCAAATGTGACAATCGTTTTATTATGCGAATACCTCCAGAAGCAATGGAGAAGTCAGTCTCAAGTTAAAATTATACAGTCCTGTATTCTGGTTCAGTAAACAACTTGGCATGTTGCATTATAATGAAGAGTCTAATATAATAAAATACTCAAGAATGGAATAGTGTCCTTGGAGAAGTGTACATTGCTAATTAATTATGTGATAAAAAGTAGTTACGGGTTAAAGATTCAAGAATCACACCTGGTCTGACTAATAACAATGTCCTGTTTGAATAAGTGTAATATCATTTATACTTTCATGCTTGTATTGCTTGATAGGCTGATGTGTAGAATGACACATTATTGAAATCAATAAAGGTTTTTCAGAACTTGCAATTCATTTTATGGTACCAGGGAAACCATATGACATTATTAAGTTTTCCCAGGGGTCCCTATGACATCTTAATTATTAAATGGGAGAAGAGGTGTTTCACAATATATTGCACACAACTCTTTGTGCTTTGGAGGCCCCTTTTGAGCTAGGCTTTTGCCTGCATCCCTATTTTTAGCAGTCCTGAAATTGTTAAAGATGTATGAAGTTATATGATAGTTCACCAATAAACCTAAAATTTGGTTTTAGTAGTCTTATTCAGAAAAAGTAAAGTTGTTTTTGTTGAGCAGTGGACTTCAAATACAATTGTTAATTGTTGCACACTCAGTTGTCCATTACAAGAATGAACATCTTATATTTATATATAGTACTCCCTGAAAAAAAAACAAGCAGAAATTCAATGTTTCAAGCGAAGGGCCTTCGTCAAGAGTTAGTAGCCCACGTTGAGTTTCTGCTTGTTTTTTTTCAGGTAGTATTACTATATAACCACTCAGCACAGCAAGACTGTTGAATAGTTGACAATCATTTATTTACCAGTTTTATTGGCACCATTGTATAAATTGTGTAGATGGTTTCATATTATTACATACTGCACATAGTACATACTGCTATTATTAAAGACCATGTAAAGTCTGTTCTGCGCATGCATTCTACATTCCAATGGTCGGGACCCGACCATTGGAATGTTATTAATATTTCACACCTTCCAAACTTTCTTGAATTGAATCTTTAGTCTGTATTCATTTACAAACATAGCAAACCAGAAGAGTTAAAAATTTAGTATAATGCATATCTAATATTTTACAACTATAGCACTGGGTTCAGACTTCAGAATGTAAACAAAGGGTTTGTTTACTTTACATGGCCTTTAAATTAATGAAACCTTTTTGGGCTGCTATAAACACCAATGTTTCTGACAGATTTGTACAGGCAATACTGTAAACAGAAACAATATATTGTATCATCAAACAATTCTATCAAACGAATTGACAAGTTGCAAAAGAATCCAAATGCTGTTTAATTGTTACATTCACACCATGATGATTCATACATTTACAGTTCAATTAAAAAATCCCAAATCTTGTATAAATACAGTCCTAGCATACGTGTATGCTTGTAAGTCTTGTACGCTTGAATTTCTTTTCAATAATAACACTCCAATATAGTAGATCAAGGACATATGCCATCATTCCCATCTAACCGTGTTCCCATCAATATACTCACTCAGAGTGAACCAAGAGTATGAATTATTACCATAACGAAGTCTGTTATTTTGCCCAAATGAATTAAAGTATGCATAAATCAACTCCTTAATCCCTTCACCACTTTTTCGGACGAAAAGCAACAAAAAATTCGTCAAAATAAGCAAATTTTCAGGCCAAATAAAGCAAAATATATCGTCTTCACTCATATTGGCCGCGCTCGTGAACGCCACAGGGGGTATGGGTCCAATAACTTATGGATCGACCAATCAGAATCGTTTTTCAATCCCGTGTGGCCAGAGCCACTCAACGATGACTCTGGGTACG